TAGGGAAAGTGTTGCCATTTGTGTTCCTGAGAGCCTAAGGCTGCCTTTAGGCAGAGACTTCAGAACCTACTGTGACTACTTCTCTTTCTTCTTAAGCTACATACAGATTCCTCTGTAACATTAAGCATGCTGACAGAAAAACAGTAAAGGGCAGGTAAAGCCCTTTGCAAAAATTTCTCATCTTTTTGTTGTTAGAAACAGCAAGTTATATCTAGTTTTTGATAGCAGTCACACCAAAAACTAATCAAATTGATTTCCCCTTCCTATGGGAATAATTCTAATGCAGCAGTCCATCATCTCTCTTTTCCTCTGTGAAGGATTTCAATTCATACAGTACTTTGAAGGGGAAAAAAAACCCCTTAAGACTACAGAATATCTGGATCATAAAAAATATTCTGCATCTTTATAAGATATATTAATAAGCCAGTCTTACACCATTGCTTACTCAATAAATTTATTGCCACTTTTTCCAAAGCTTCATAGAAAATTGTGGAAGTTGTCTTAACTATCAGCTGTGCGCTCCTGGGCCCTGAGAAAGCTAGCCTTCTTCTGAGCAACACGATCTTTCTTCTGGGCAAGGGACATCTTGGGACAGTTCCATCTGCAACGTAAGCACAGTGTACAATATATCTGAGGCAGAAATAAGCAAAAAGGTGGTCAAGAAAGCTGCAGTGCACCAGAACTGTGATTAAGACTGCTATGCTAGAACATATTCCCACTTCTGTAACATGCTTTACTTCACTGTAATGATTTAAGGTGCCTGTTAGGGCACCACAAAAAGGCATGGTTAGACTGCAGCAGTTTAATTCATCAAGAGAGAAGCTCAGTACTTGTCTGTGACTAGAAAATTGACACTATCAATCCCAAGGCAATAGCTGTGCCTTTATTTCTTTTCTCCCAGACCCCTGAAAAATCCAAATAATTTAGTACTGACAAATTAGTCAGCTTTCCCACTGAAAACATTAAGAATTGAAGATACACACTTAAAGAGTTCCAGTTATTCAGGCCACAAGTATGCTCCACTTTTAAATTTAAAAGAGCCCTCAACTATATATAAAAAAAAAAATTTAGATTCCTAGTGTTAACTCCTGACGAAGTTATACAGAAATGCTTGTATCTAATCTGATTTTAACTACATGTCAGTTTTAATGCAACTGCACTGTCAATCACATTGTTTTACCATAACTAAAATATCTTTGTCACCCTCTTTAACATGAATGTGACTTCTCTGCTAGTTTTACCTCTTCTTCTTGACTTCTCTCTTCGGTTTCTTTTCATGGACTGGATTATCCCGTATAGCAGCATGGGCTTTTTTATACATTTCTTCCATCTTAAAAAAAATATAAATTGTTAAATTCTCCATAGCGGTTCATTGTAGGATCATAGAAAGAAAATCCAAGATACCCTTACCTGAGCATGCACTAGAAACACATTTCATTGCAATAGAGCCTGTGATTTTGTGTGGTTGCCTTTAAAATGCTCTCTTCATACATAAGATCACTACCATAGCATACTGAAATTTCTACTATCTTTGTAATATAGTTTAAATATCCAAACTCACAACTTGGACACAAAACAGAGAAAGTAATTTCATCCCTATTTTACAGTTAGAGATCCAAGGCCATAGAGTGACTACAGATTACTTACAAGTCTCACAAATACAGGCTAGTATCTTGCAGTTGAAATACTTTTTCTTCTGAAGCCTACTTTCAGTGCTGTAGCTTCCCTACATTGAAATTAAAAGGCAGTCTAGAAAGTTATTCTACTTCTGCCTGGAATACTTCATGTTTACTTATTAAACCAAAATCACTCCACACAAACTCTGTCATCAGACATGTAGTCTTACCACTTTTGAGACCCTACTCTAGTACA